AATAATAATAATAATAATACAGCCTGTGGCTGGTGACTTACACCTGTAATTCTAGCTACTCAGGAAGCAGAGATCAGGAGGATTGTGGTTTGAAGCCAGCCTGGACAAATAGTTCACGAGACCCTGTCTCGAAAAAAGAACCTCACAAAAAAGGGCTGGTGGATTGGTCAGGTGTAGGCCCTGAGTTCAAACCCCAGTACCACCAAAAAAAAAAAAAAAATCTAAAGTAAAAGCAAAGTAGGGACTTGATTCTGTCTCAAATATTAACTATCTCTGTCCCTTTCACCATGAACTTTTTCTGTTCTACCTACCTTGTTGCTGTTCCATATAGTAATGTCTCTCTGTTGTTTTCTATGGGGGCTACAGTGAAGTGAAAATTGGAGACATTCCCATCTACAGCTGATTATTTACTTTCTGTCTGGGGGTGTACCTCAGCAGTACAGTGCTTGCCTAGCATGCCAGGAGCCCTGGGTTGAAGAGGCCAGGGTTTGATGCACAGCACTGCAAGTAAACAAAAAGCATTCTTACGTTCTTTGTCCCCATACAGCCATCGGAAAGCCTTGAACTGTAAGCAGGTTCAAGGCTGTTACTAAAACTAATTCAAAAATATAATTGCTTTGGCTTCAAAAGTTAGAAAACAAATTCGGTAAAGTGGCTTAAAGGTTAAATGAAACCATGACGGGTTTTTGGAGGGAAAAGTCAGTCTGGTGTGTTCAGACTCTGTAATGACTCATGAATGAATGTATGGTTTCCATCTGTTCCATTTTGGTACTGAATGCTAGGAGACACTTTGCCACCTTAGTGTCTAACTTTGGAGACAAGTAGGTGACTGGCTGCCCATGAATAGCTTCTTCTCAAGGCTCAAGACTTTTTGATGGCTCTTCAGAAGCAAATGGAGCTTATGCATAAGAAAGTGAGTAAGCCTATAGTCCTAGCTACTTTAGGAGGCAGAGATCAGGAACTATCTATTTGCCAGTCCAGGCAAATAGTTCGAGCCCCTATCTCCAAAAACCCGTAACAAAAAAGGGCTGGTGATGTGACTGGAGGTGTAGGTCCTGAGTTCAAACCCCAGAACTGAAAAAAGAGAGAGAGAGAGATCAGGAGGATTGAGTTTGAAGCCAGCCCAGGCAAATAGTTCAAGAAACCCTATCCTGAAAATATCCAACACGAAAAAGGGCTGGTAGAGTGGCCCAAGTGGTAAAGCACCTGCCTGGCAAGTGTGAGACTCTGAGTTCAAATCCCAGTACCACAAAAAAAAAAAAATGTTTTGGTTTGTTTGCCATACCTGGGCATTGAACTAGGGTGAACTAGGGCTTCTTACATGCTAGGCAAGGACTCTAGCGCTGAACTACATCCCCAAAGTGTCTTTCAATGGTGAAATAACTTTTTTTTTCCCCTCCTCAGTACTGGGAGTTGAACTCAGGCCCCTGAATTTTGCTAGGCATGCCCCGAGTCCATTTGTGTTGGCTATTTTGAACATAGCGTCTCATTTTATCCAGGGGTTGGTCTGGACAGCAATACTTTTTTTTTTTTTTTTTTTTGGCGGTACTGGGGTTTGAACTTAGGTCTTAAAGTGAAGATAATAGCACCTATTTTACAGGCTCATTGAGGGTTAAATGAGCTAATATTTACAAATGTCTGGTTCTGTGCTAACGGGATCCAGGGATGAAAAACGTGGCTAAGAAATAGTTCTTGCACCCATACACTGTTATCAGAGGTCCCTCGATATCGGTTTCTGTTTATACTGGATGGAGGAATTTACAAAACGTTTTGTTTTACCTCAGATCTTCCACGTCCTAATCCTAATCCTACACCTAATGCAGAATGGTCAAAGAAATAAGGCGAGGGCTTCTCTAGCTGGTATAGCGCAGCCTTTGATTTATTCACTGGGAGTCAGGGACCTCAGGTTTGTACTACAACACCCATCATGCACCTCTCCTTTTTGGCGTCTCATAGGGACTGAATCCTGTGGCCTAAGCCAGTCAACTTCCGCACCCGGCGACCTGTAACCCGGAAATTATAACTCCCACAACTACTTCCGGCGTGTGATGATACATTGCTTCCTGCGACATCTATAACTAGTTTTCTTCCGCCAGCACGTTAAATAGTCCCACAGGTAATTTTTTCCACAGATAAGTAAACTTTGGGGACTTCTTTATACCTAAATATCATAGTAAACTCTTAATAACCATCAAAAATTGAGTATAGTGAATTGCTAAGTATAACTAGGAATGTACATCGCATAAGAATTCTTCGGGTGAGAGCGTAGGGATCTCGCACTATATAAGAGGTCCCGGCCGACCTCCGGATCCTCTCTGTGGTCCGCACTTCCAAGATGGTGAGTACTGTCGCGTGGTGAGCGCGGGGATCTGAGTGGTGGCTAAAAATATCACGTTCTCAGGTTGGGAAGACTTAAGAGTCTGGACTGTGGAGGAGGAGGGCACAAAGCGTACATGTAACCCTAGGCTTGAAGGAGTCTGAGGTTTGAGCGGCACCTTTGCGGGCTGCCGGCGCAGAGTGTAAACCGAACAGGGCTGAAGCTGGGTAAGTTGCACCGCCTTCCTAATAGGAGCTCTATCTTAATGCAGACCAAAAAAAGGAGGAATAACGGTCGGGCAAAAAAGGGCCGCGGTCATGTGCAGCCTATTCGCTGCACAAACTGCGCCCGATGCGTGCCCAAGGACAAGGCCATTAAAAAGTTCGTCATTCGGAACATAGTAGAGGCCGCAGCTGTCAGGGACATTTCCGAGGCGAGTGTCTTCGACGGTGAGTGAGCCCCACCCCCAGATTCGAAGTTATTGGTAAAAGAGAACCATGTACTGGCTGTCTTTTTGTCAATTTGAGCTTTGGGCAGAGGGTGGCTTTTTGTGTTGGAATGTACTGAAATGTACAAGCTTCACTCTGAAGTTGTGACATAGGATTACAGAAATGCTTCCAGAGGTAGAAACCGGCCAAATGTAACAATGTTACTGAGCTAGCGAGACTTAAAACAAATGAAGGTATGAGTGGGCGTGCCTCAAGTGGAAGAGCAATCCTGAGGCTTCCCAGTAACTCAAAGGAAAAAATAAAGGAAGACAAGGATGGTCTTAAATTACTTCGACAACAAGAAGGAGACTAAGAGTAGGCATTATAGCTGCTAAAGCTGCTGAAGGAATTGGATTTTGGTTTTGTTTTGTTTTGTTTTAAGTTGTACTGGGGATTGAATTCAAGGCCTCTGGCTCGAGCCACACCTCCAACCTTCCCCCCACCACCACCTGAGCTGAGGTGTCACTATACTCCTGGGTACATTGATGCAGTTCTACCTCACTCTGGGCAGTAGCTAGGACTACAGGCAATGCACACTGAAAACACTGGAGTCAAGATGAGTTCCTAGGGAATATTGTTACTGGTTTATGAAGCTGAACAGTGATTTGGGAGTGAAAGTTTTGTCTCTTACCACCTTAAGCAGGTTTAATTTTGACTGACAGAATGAACAAAAAGAATAATGCAAATGGGAACCTAAACTTAATAAAATCCTTTTCTGTTTATCAGCTTATGTGCTTCCCAAGCTCTATGTGAAACTGCATTACTGTGTAAGTTGTGCCATTCACAGCAAGGTGGTCAGGAATCGATCTCGTGAAGCCCGGAAGGACCGAACACCCCCACCCCGATTTAGACCTGCTGTAAGTATTTTGAAAGGAGGATGTAGTAGCTAGAGCTGTAATACTGGGGTCCAGAGAAATACCAAACTAAGGCATTAGTCTGATAAGACAAATGGAACCCTCAGTAAGTTAACTGCCCTATGTTCTTTTTTTTTTTCTCCAGTTTTGGGTTGATTGGCTTCAGTTTTTGTTTGTTTTTGCTGCTGGAAATCAAAAACCTCACATGCTAGGCAAGCATTCTACCTATATCCTTAGTTACTTGAGTTTGAATTCAAGGCCTCATGCTTGCTAGTCAGTTGCTCTCCTATTTAGGGTACAACTCAGCCCAGATCTGTGGTTTTTTGGTTTACTCTATGGTTTTTTTTCTTTCAGGGTGCTGCTCCACGACCTCCACCAAAGCCCATGTAAGGAGCTGGATCCTTAAGCACTGAAGAAAAACTGTCTTCTGGAATAAAATAAAATTGAAATTATACTTTATATAGCATGTTGAGTGTATCTGTCCAGATAGGGGCTTTGAGGGGATTTTTTTCCTATCAAGTGTTCAATTGAGTGGTGCCACAGTTTTGGTGGGACTGGGATTTGAACTCAAGGCCTCATGATTTGCAAAAGCAGGTGCTCTACTGCTTGAGCCACACTCCCAGTTTATTTTGCTCTGATTATTTTGGAGGCTGGGCGGGAACTGTAATCTTCCAGATCTCAGCCTCCTGTGTCGGTAAGATAACAGGATTGAGTAACTGGCACCTAGCTTATGCTAAATCTTAGGCTGAAACTTTGAATTGGATAGCTGTGTGAAAAGGGGAGGAAACTGGAAAAGAATGTAGGGCAGTGACTTAAATTTTTCATACCCCTGGTGGGGACTAAACAGGAAAGGCATGATTTGGATAGCTTCAAAGAGACAAGTAGGGAAGAACCCTGTACCTTGTGGTTTGTCCTAGAATTCAGAAATGGAAGTTAAGTTGGGGTATATGTGTTTATCAAAAAAAAGAAAAACTCCATTTGGGTGCTGGTGGCCACACCTGTAATCCTAGCTACTCAGGAGACATCCATTTATGAGGGTGATTGCTAAGGGTAGACTGCTGATTGGACTATATATTTTTCAAGAGCCTGGAGATGGTCCTGCTAATTGCAAAGCCCTTTAAACTTCACACTAAAAAGTGGCAAAATTGCTAACCACAGTTTAGGTCAACGGCATGCCAAAGCATGTGCCGAAACAGCTGCAGCAAATCCTGAATTCAACATTTAGTGGCAGAGTGCATCCTTTGCAGAAGGGAAATTGAAGAGTCTTTTTATTCCTCCATACTATAATGACCACACCTGGGGTAAAGAATGAAATCCAAGGTAAAAATAACACCATAGCCTTGCACTGGTGGTTTGTACCTATAATCCTAACTACTTGGGAGGCTGAGAACAGAATCACAGGCAAATGGTTGGCAAGACCCCATCTCCAGAGCAAAATGGGCTGCAGGTATGAATCAAGGTGTAGAGTCCCTGCTTTTCAAGTGTGAAGTCCTACATTCAAAACCCTGTCCCACCAAAAAAAATGCAAAGGCCATGTGTAGTCTAAACCCACTTCCTGAATAGATGTGAAACAACTGGATTTGATAGCAAAGGATTAACTTGTATGTGATCAAATTGATAATTCCTTTTTGTCATTCATTAGTCCTCAGGAAATAAAACAGCCCAGTAGCTCAATTCTGTAATCCCAGCTGTTCTGGGGGAGAACCCCCATCTCAAAAAAGCTGGGCAGCTAGGGTTACAGCTCAAATTGGAGAACATCTGTCTAGTAAGCATGAGACCCTGAGTTCAAATTAACGAAAAAAAAAAAAAGCTGGGCACGCGTCGGTCAAACCTGGAATCCTACTTAGCTACTCAGACATAGATCAGGAGATCATGGTTCAAAGCCAGCCCCTGAAAATAGTTTCTCAAAACCCCATCTCAAAAAAGCCCTTCACGAAAAAGCTGGTGGAGTGGCTCAAGGTGTAGGCACTGAGTTCAAGCCCCAGTATTGAATCGGGAAAAAGAAAAGCTGAATATGGTGGTACACTTGTCTTTCTAGTTACAAAGAAGGCATAGGTAGACGGATAGCAGTCTGAGGCTATCCTCATTTTTCCTGGGCAAAAATGGTAGCCTGAAAAATATCTGAATATCTGAAAAATACCCAAAAGTAAAAAGGACAAGAAATATGGCTCAAGTGGTAGAGCATGAAGCCCTGATACAAATCCCAGTACTGTCAAGAAAAAGTTACACCTTGTGGTCCAGATTCCAGCTTCCTCAATACTAGATTCAAAAAGTAAATCGGGACTGGTGGAGGATCAAATGGCAAGAGTGCCTGCCTAATGGGCATGAGGTCCTGAATTCCAACCCTGGATCACCAAAAAAAAATTGCCAGGTGCCAGTGGCTCACCTGTAAATGCTAGCTACTCAGAAATCAGGAGGATCGAAGTTCGAAGCCAGCCCAGGCAAGTAGTTGGAGACCCTATCTTGAAAATCCTTCACAAAAATAGGGCTAGTGGGACCTCAAGGTGAAGCCCTGAGTTCAAGCCCCAGTACCACAAAAAAATAAAAATAAATAAATCAGAGCCTTGAGTGCACCACAATTTCTTTGAAGTGTTTATAGGATACAGTGTAACCTTTTCTTGGATTAGATTATTACCTTGCCTATTAGATTCAGAGAGAGAATGCAGTTTGATTTTTGTCTTCAGGTATCCTACTTGGAAGGGAGGGCCTAGAACTAGGAATTGGTTAGTCTTTTTTTTTGGTGGGCTAGGGTTTTAATTCAAGCATTTTACAGATTAACTGCACCTCCACTCCATTTTGATTGATATTTTGGAGTTGGGGGTCTCTTGACACTATTTATCTAGGCTGAGGTCTCAAACCTCCATCCTCCCGTCTCAG